CTTTGGAGCTTTCGTCGGAAATCCAATCTACGATGGTGCCGGCAATCAGAGGGCCAAGTGTACCCGCCAATCGTGAATTGAATAAGTCCCGCAATTCAGAGCACGACTGGATCTGGATAGCTACTTGCTGCGCGGCTCGCCGGAGGGACAGCCTGGCCTGAGCGCTGCTCGCGGGGTCCGCAGGGAGATCCCGGAGCATGGGCGGGTCTGCCTCGTCGATGGCGTCGAAAAACGGGTTGTTCCCAAGCGCAAGGAATTGGGGCGAAAACCCACATCGTCGCACCAAGGCGTTCTTAGCAGCACAAGCTTGCAACATGACGTCCGTAGTGGTGAGTCTCCTACTGTTGAGTTGGTTCGTGAACATCTGCGACAATTTGTAGAAGATAATCTTCAATACCCCGTTGTGTCGCTCAACAAGGCCGTTTGACGCAGGAGCTCGGGGAGGGATCCACAAGTGACGTACTCCGTGTAGCTCCAGATGCTCTTCTACCTCTTTGTTGGCATACTCACCACCACTGTCGGTCAAAATGTTCTCTGGCAAGCTTCCAAAAATGGGTTGCCATCGGGGCAGCGTCTGCAGCGCGCCGCTGGGCTCCCTGGTCGGAACCCGCTCTGCCAGGGACCACTTCGTGAACGTATCGATCATATGATGAAAAATGATGGGTTTGGTGCCCAATTTGATCTCGAATGAATCGATACACACGATCTGGTTGACAGATCTGGCGCTCATCCCGGAAGTCTTGGGGTGAGGAGCAGCTTTGCGAAAACGATCGCATATCTTGCAGTTGTGTGATCTTCTCTGCAAGAGCCTTCACAGCACTAACGGTTCCAGGATCCAACACAGGAGTAATCTTACGAATCAAATGCTCCACACGAGGGTGGCCGAGTCGATCATGGATCTTTTTCAATCCGGCTTCGGTGGTCAGGTCGCGCTTCAGCTGGGACAAACGAGGCGGCATCGAGATCTGAAACGACCCAGGGCTGTCTAGCACTGCGATGGTTTCATGCGCTGTTTCTTTGCTGGCGGGGCTTCTGGTCGTAGAGGGCTCTGCGTGTAGCGCTTCTGGACGCACGGAGAGGAGTGGAAACAGGTAGTGTCCAGCGTGGCTCGTCTTCAAAGGTATTGTCTGTTGCGTAGACTTCAGAAACAGCGTGTCTGCGTCGAAATCAACAACAGCACGTAGATTCTTAAGCTGTGGTTTGGACAACAAGAAAGGTGTAGCTCGTGGACCTGTGCCTGTTTTGACTACCTCGAAATCGGTTCTAGAGTTAAGCGTTTGAACAGGAACGTTAGCTAAACTTGACGCCGTTTTCGAATCACCCCCAGCAAAACGATACACTGTCGAGGAAGGCTTTTCGGACACACGCAGATCAGGAAACTCTGCGGCAAGGAGCTTTTTGAACTGCTGGTAGCGGTCTTCCGAAACCATTCCTCTCGAGCAGCCAGGATCGACGATAGCTTCGTGGACCGCGATGTCCGTGTGCAGGCTGTGCTCTGTTGCAAACGACGGCATTGCTGCTTCTGCGACGTGCGAGGCGCGATTGTCTTCTTTCGGGTCTTCGTCTTTGGCTTCGTCGTCGTTGCTGCTGCCGTCTTCGTCGCTGTCGCTGTCGGAGTCGACGGAGGAGGCTGGAGGAGGCCAGTCGTCGCCGTAGTCGTCGTTCTGCCCATTTTGGCACGGCTGTGGGCCCATGCACCAGCACGGCGCTCGGAGCAGCGGGTCCACCAAGTCGATGTTCTCGCAGGTGAAGCACATGTTCCCGCACTCTACGCGGGACAAGCACTTGTACTGCGCAATCAACTCGCCACAACAGCTTACACGAACCAGCCGGTTGGGGCAGCCTTCGGTGCGAGGTGCCCTGAATGGGCCTACGCCTACGGGCGTGCTACGCGAACTATCCATTCCGGCAGCCGGGAAACCCAGGCACGCCGGTCCGGACGGAACGCTGGACGACAGGCCACGGTCGGCGGGAGCGGGGAGCGTCTCTTCCAGCAGCCGGGAAACCCAGGCTCGCCGGTCCAGCGCGCTCCGCCTCCACAGACACCACTCCATCGGCCGGGAAGCCCAAGCTCGACGGTCCGGCATCTGCGGTGTAGCTGGACGACGCAGTGGCTGCAGCGTTGGGTGGCGGACGCGACGTTTCCGGCAACCTCTGTTCCTGGAGGGACCGGAGGTGCGCAAGCTCGTTGTTGAGCAGTTGCACCCTGCAGGCGCGTAGCTGTTGCGCTTGCTCTGGCGGTAGGCTCGGTGGCCCCCGCTCGTCGGGCGGTTGCGGTGGTTGGCTGTCAGGAGCAGGCTCGTCTGAGTGCTCCGCCACGAATGACCAAGCTAGTTGGGCATCCGAGTCGGGGTGGTAGTCGTAACCGCTGGCTTGACCAGAGCTCCAGTCAGGATGCTCTGACCAATCACCAGACCCCATCCACCAGCTGGAGTCATCAGCTGTGAATGCGTGGTTGTGTTTTCCCGACGGTTTCTGTGAAGTTTTGCCTTTGCCTTTGCCTTTGCTTTTGGAGCTTGTGGCTTTTGCAGTCGTAGGTTTTCCGTTGTACTTATCAGCCGGGTAAGTATTGAACCCTTTCCCCCTGCCAGGGGGTACCTTTCCAGCTCCTGTTCCGTACCCTTTGCCTGAACCCCTTCCAGGGGTAAAAGCTCTTTTCGTTTTCCCCTTGTTGGGTGGGTGTGGGCAGCTCTCGACCCAGTGGTTGGGGTCACCACACCTCAAACACCCTTTTGTATTTCCGTAGGCGGCGTCTTCCCAGCTGGCTTCCTGCCATGGCTGGTCGTAGTAAGCCGTGTCTTCCCACTGAGAATCGGGCCATTCAGGTTCGTCCCAGACGTCTGCGGCGAGTCCGTCCGTCGCAGCTTTTCCCAGGAGGTTGTCTCCCAGCACCTTCTGGATTGCATCCCTCGCTTTTCTAACAGTCAGGGTTGCATCCATGTCTAAACGAGTGCTCAGGTTGAGTTGGTGTTGGGACAGCTCTGCGTTCACTATGAGAATGAGGGCTTTGACAAACTCTTCCAGCTTGACGAATTTATCGGCCTCAAACTCGCTAATGAGCCTGACGCTTTCGGATACGTAATCCTGCAGTTGTCCACCGTTCCGGGTGTACTTTAGCCAAGACGAGAAACGCAACAGCTTTGCCACGTCGTCTTTGGTTCTGTTTTCTTGTTGCATAAAGGACAACAGGTAATTAAAGCCAAGGGAGCCAGTCGCTCCGGACTCATTCTTTGGATCGGCAGACAACCGAGCCATGTCAAGAAGTTTCGCTTGGTTCTTGAAGAACAAGTTGGACGAAAAACCTATACTCTTTATGTGTGGCCCTACATGTTCTGGCTTCAGCTCTGTGGACAGCACCCACGCACTGAGATCCTCTTCGTAGGACTCCCAGCTCTGTTGAGGACCAGCTATCGGACATGCCTTGACACCACTTCCTTCGAAGCTTGCGGTTGCCATGGCACCAGGCGCGGAGAGGCCGAGGAGCGCAGCGCGCTCCGCTACCAACTTGAGGATGTCTCAATCGAAAGCCATCCATGCGGGAGACGGAATGCCCGGCAGGGCTCGCTTGGGCGGTCCGCTCTTTCCGGCAAGGCGAGAGCGGCTCAAGGGCCCTAAACGGCGGCGGCCAGGAGAAGTGCAAGGCAGCACGAGAAGGCAGGGACAAGGAGAGACGGGGCGAGAAGAGAATGATGGGCAAGACGACTAGACGAGGGATGAAGTCGCTTCACTTTTGGGGCCTGTTGGGCCGTCTTGGAGCTTGGGAAGCCTGAAAGTGCGAGAGTCTTGAAAACATTGAACAAACTCGGGAGGATATTTGTTTTTGCCTTGTCGGGGCCCTCTAGAAAGCTTTTTTGGGTGCTGTTTTGGCCATCCTGGGCCTCCTGAGCCCTCTTCGGGCGGAGGGCTCGAATTGTCGGTTCGTGTTCGCCCCTTTGGCTCTTCTTGAAGTCGTTTTGGGCCATTTTAGGCAGTATTGGGTGTATCTTGGGGCCATCTTGGGCTGTCTTGGGGCCCTCTTGGGGGCCTCTTTGGCCCTCTTGGGGCAGTCCTGGAGGCCTCTTGGGCCGTCCTGTGACGTCGGAAGTTCGGAAAGACGAGAACCCGAAAACATTGTGAACAACCCAAGGGAAATCAAGGACTTGTGCCTCTCGGGGCCATCTTGGTCAGGCCTTTGGCGCTCTCTTCGGACGCCTCGACGGCCTCGTGAGCCGTCTTGGAACCATCTTGGGCCGTCTTGAGGCCAACGTGGCCCGTCTTGAAGCGATAGTGGGCCACCTTGGAGACATCTGGGCCTCGTGAGCGCGAGTCTGTTGCATTCTGCGAGGGGCTATGGCTTCTGGAAGAGGGAGCGATGCGTGCGACTTGGTGCGAGGAGAGGGGGGGCCTTAGAAAGTGCCAGAAACCCGACCAGACAGACCTCGGCATTCTTCCACGCTTCAACGTGCACAAGGCACGGTGGCGGACTTGCGCCGCATCATGTCGGGCCGCTGTTCTGCGACAAGGGCCCACTGTGGACGGGGGGGCGCCTGCTGCGATGACTCGGGTTTGCGTCGGCGGCACTGATGACCCCCGAAAGCGGAAGGCGAGAACGGACAGTGCTTTTTTTCTTCGAAAGAAGACCACAATACTTTCGAGAACAATCACTCGGGGCCACGGCCCTTCGCGTGGGCCAGTCGCGTCGTGCTCCGCTGGGCGCGCGGGAACGTCTTGGGTTCAGCGCGTCCCTCATTCTTGATGGGCCTGTTTTCTAACACCACCGCCATAAGTCGGAGGGAGGGAGGAGGTGGAGGACGAGGAGGAGGACGACGAGGAGGAGGAGGAGGAGGAGGTGGAGGAGGAGGAGAATCCGCTCCCCATCCAACTGATGGCGGTGGTGGAAAATAGGCCCACAATTTCTCTCTCTCTCTCTCTTCCTCTTTCTGCCTCTCTCTCTCTCTGTCGTTCCGTGTCTCTCGCTCCCTCCCGTTCTCGTCCGCTCCTCCTCCCCGCACCCGCCTAAGGTATTCGATGGGCCAGGCTGAGGTGAAGAGGCAGATGGGCTGTAAGGCCGTCAGAGCCTGCTCGCGTGTCCCTCGGGTGGAGGGAAGGCGTGATGATGCTGCTGATGATGATGATGATGATGATGATGATGATGATGATGATGATGATGATGATGATGATGATGATGATGATGATGTTGATGAGGAGGAGGATGAGGAGGATGAGGAGGAGGAGGAGAAGAAGAAGAAGGAGGAGAAGAAGGAGGAGGGACATTCTTTCGGTTGTGGGCATGCTTGCGTCCCGAACGACCTTGATGAGACCTGCAGGTGCTGGCCTGGACCCCATGAGCGGCCCTCCTGCATGTGGCCGGCAGCGCCTTGGCCGGGCCCCCCTGGGGGCCGATTGGAGCCCAGAGCTCCCGGGGCCAGGGCGCGGACCGGCAGGGCGTTGCGGAAGGAGTCGGGCGGCACACGCGCGGCGGGGCCCCGCCTCAGGGAGGCCTCTGGGCCCTCCACTGGCTCCTCCCCCGTCCTCGTCTCCCTCTCCTCCTCCTCCTCCTCCTCCTCCTCCTCCTCCTCCTCCTCCTCCTCCCTCCTCCTCCTCCTCCTCCTCGCCGTGCTTTTCTCCTCCCCCCCCCCTCCTCCCCCCTCCCCCCTCCTCCCTCCTCATTCCTCCCCGCACGTCCTCCCTGACACGCTATAGCTGCCTGCCGTGCTCCTCCTCCTGCGGCTGCTCCCTCCCCTCCTTTTATGTTGTTCCCGTCACGCTTAAGGACCGCATCCCAGAAATGATTTCGAGCACCCAGAGAAGTGTCAAGAGAGTGCCGAAGCAGTGTCGGAACAGTGCAGGGCGAGTGCCTCCCAGGGCCCGGCACGGGAAAACCCTTGAGTTTCGGTACTTTTTGGGGGCGCTCGACGTTCTTCCTGGTGGTCAAGGCTAATGTACAGTGCCGTTTTTAATACATGCTCCACATGCGGATCATGCATTAAATTGCAGGCTTTAGCATTAAAAGCAAGAATGAGTTCATGCATACATTTATGCGTACATTAACCATGCATTAATAATCCTATCCTTTTTGAAAAAATAATCAAATGTATTAAAGTCTGCCCTGCAGGTTGGAGCATCCTAACCCTAGCATCATAGCTGAAGTAGGCTTAACAACCTATCCCAGAGCTATTCTGCGTCTTGGGTTTAGGCTGTTTCGCTGCGTTGTGTTGGGCTGTTAGGCCCCCCGTGCTGAAAAATGGCTCTCTGGAAGGTCAGGGCTGGAGCATCCTAACCCCCCTCTTCCTTCCCGACCCGTGCCCCGCGGCGGGGCGGAGCCGCGGGAGCCCGCCGCTGCCCGCGGGGGCGCGCCCTCGGCCGGGCGGGCCCTCGGCCTCCCCGGCGGCCCTCTCTCCGCGTCGGTCGGGAACCTTGCGACGGGGGTCAATCCTCCCCCTCCTCGTCCTTATCCTCCTCCTCCTCCTCCTCCTCCTCCTCCTCCTCCTCCTCCTCCTCCTCCTCCTCCTCCTCCTCCTCCTCCCTCCTCCTCCTCCTCTCTCCTCCTCCTCCTCCTCCTCCCTCCTCCTCCTCCTCCTCTTCCTCCTCCTCCTTCTCCTCCTCCTCCTCCTCCTCCTATTCCTCTTCCTCCTCCTCCTCCGCGTCCTGCCCCTTCTCCTCATCATGCAAACGGGGGTCAGCCAGGGCACCGGATCCTGCAGGATCCTGCGAAGGCCCCCTCCTTGGCCGGCCCGGGTCAGCGAGCCGCTCGTGGCCGCGAGGCGGCCGCGCACATTGGGCCGACCCTGGTGTGCGAAGGCCTGCGTGGCAGTTTTTTGTTTTGTTTCCGGCATTGCAGTTATTTGGTTTCCTGCTGACCCGGGTCTGGACTGACCCGGGTCAGAAGATCCCCGCGTCGGGCTGGCCCCTCTCCCAGGCTCGAGCAGGTCCTACAGGGGAATAAAAATCGGGTATAGCCAGGACCCCCCCTGACTCCAGATCCGCCCTACTTTGGCCTTTTTTTTCAACTTAAAAATGCGTCGGAAATCTACTTATAAGAAGCCGAAGAAGTAGGGCGGATATTTCTGCACCCAACATACAGTAGGGTGGAAATCCACAGAAGTAGGGCGGAAACAGCAACAGAAAAGTAGGGCGGAAATTGGCATCAGCGGGGCTTGAAAAGTAAGGCGGAAATTCCAGGCCCTACTTACGAATTTCCCCAAAGTAGGGCGGATCCGGAGTCAGGGCCAGGTAAGGGGACCCGGTTAGAAGTAGGGCCCGGGAGCCCCGAAATTGGCCAGAATCGCTCAACCAGGCTTGCCGTAGCTGGTGTTTTTCGGGTGACGGCAGCTCCGGTTAGCGAAATGGGGCGGGGGGGGCGCTCCCTGGTACACATCACTAAACCAGGTCCCACTAAACCCAGTTCTGCCAACGCCCGAACAAAGTTGCTTAAACATACAAACTCGGAGGTCCGCGCGGATTTCTCGGATCGGCGCTGGGGACCCCCCTGGCGCGCTCCGCGCGCCAGGGAGGGGGGTCCAGCGCCGATCCGAGAAATCCGCGCGGACCTCTGAGTTTTCATGTTTATGTCACTTTTTGTTCCCCTAGATCGGCCTTACCCGTCGGTCGTTGAGGGTAGGTAATGTTTCGATCCCCGGGTCCCAGTCCACTTCGGGCGTCCTCCTGCTTCACTGATCGGGCGGTTTCATCCTGTCCTTCCTCTTCGGGGGGCGGGCGGAAGCCCAACCTGCCTCCAACGCCTTCCTACTCCGTGTTTCTGCCCACTTCTTCCGACCGGCGATTACAGCGTACAGTGACACGCAGTGCGCCCGAACATCGACAATCACCGCGTAGGCACCTTCTGCATGTCTGAGCCAGGCTATCACGCATGAGGTCGAAACTCCGCGGCAGGTACATTCTTATGCCATGCGTGTTTGTCGACGTAATCTCGTACAAGAAACGTTATTTCTGATCTCAGCTGAGCTATTAGCAAGGGACGATTGCTCCTCAGGCAGCGCATGTTCGAGAACGGGTCTGCAGTCTCACAAAGTGCAATGACTGGAACCCAGACGCATTGCAGCCTAGTTCGGTTGTCAGGGCCAAGCCTCGTCTCGAATACCACATGCGCGACGGTTGTGCGCGAGCGCCGGTTTCACTGCTCGCACATCGGGACCTCCGTTGCTGGCATAGGTCGCGCTGCCTGCTTCAGATCGGGGGCTCTCGATGTCACAGCTATCGCTAGCGACCCTCCGCAAACATACTCTTGTGACGGGGGGGAACTCGCACACGAGCCCAAGGCTGCATGGTACATCATGGGTTTGATCCGACATGTATTGTTGAGCCTCCACGTGCTCGTGACATTGCTTTGGGGTAGTACTGACATCAGTCCTGGGCCAGAGCAAACCAGAAAATGCACACATCATTCTCACGGCATGTATCGGGCCGCTTCCAAGCGTCACGTTGTCCTATCTGCCCGTCCTCCCCGCCCGTCCCCCTGCTCCTACTGAATTCTGCGGGGGCGACTCGGGACGGCAGGGTCATTACAGCATCAGTTCAGTCCTGTGGTGGTGGTGTTGGGTTGGTTTACTCTGGCGCTTTCCTTCCCACGCGCGGGCGCGCAGTTGTAAACCCCAATATGCCAAACTTTGACACAGAATTGGCCGCTAGCGGCCGCGGACTGGTCAAACTTACATGAGGAGATGAATGAGCAGGGCCGCACACGAGTTCAGCCGGAGCCAGCTGCTTCCATGCGGCCAGTTCGAGTGTTCATATCCCATTGTTCGTCCAGCAGAGACTGCCTCGCGCAGGACACCGGAGACAAGGGCATTGCGCAGATGAAAGACGTGAACGACGTGGCCTCAGCCTCTTCCGCGATCATTATCCTCTCACGTCGGCGCACGGGTGACTGTTCGTTGTGCTATCTTCTACTGTGGATCATATTTCTCTGTCTTATCAAGTAAAGCATGTCTCGCGGCGGAGTAAGCAGAGGAGCGGTGATATTTTCGCAGGCCGAGACTGTTTTCCTCATGCATGGAGAACCATGGATCTTATTGGATCCAACTGCGTGCGTGCAAGAATATCGCGGCTCCCATTCATCTACATTCTGGATCCCGTTTGTTTACATGGAAGTTTTGTGGATGCCATTGTGGGGCCCGGATTCATATTTGATAATAACCGTAATACGGGTAGCAATAATAACAACCGGTGTTGTAGACCCACAGGAAGGGGGATCCACAGAGTTGTTCGTCTGCAGGCCAATGCTGTGATTCTGTGAGAAAGGGATTTCCCTGTCGGTCGGCCAGACGGTCGCCGTCGCCAGCGGCCAGTCGGTCGGTCGGCGGGCCCGCCGGTCGGCCAGTCGGTCGGCGCGTCGGTCGGTCGGTCGATCGTCGTCGTCGGTCGGTCTGTCGGTCGTCGGTCGGTCGATCGGTCCGTCGCCGTCGTTGTCTGGGGCTCAAAAGGAAAATCTGTCGGCCTGGGGGTTGATGTTTCCGGTGTGTTTAAGCCCGCAGTGTGGTTGCATCGGTCAGTTAACATGTTCGCACATTGTTTTAACATTATGGTGGCCAGATGGGCAGGCCAGATATTGAACTTGTAGCGACAGGGGACAGTGCATGTTTGATCAGATCGCCCTGCGCAGTTGCGTTTTGGCATGATCTGTTGATACGTTCCATATAATTTCTTGGGTTCGCAACTCTGCTTGACCCCGTGTTTGCAATCCTTCCCGTCCCAGTACTGGATCTACAGTCGAGTCTACTATGGTATCTTGTTACTTTTGCTTTACGCGTTGGGCCCCGATTGGGGAGGCAGATGTGAGGCAGGCTCCCGTCGTGTCAACGCGGCGGCGACCCCGCCGCGGGCGTTTAAGATTGAACGCTCCCAGTGGCCCAGAGTCGGCCAACATGCAGCGACCCGGCGACCAAGCAGCCGCCGACCATTCAGGGATGAACGATGAACGTGGTGTCAGGAATTAATGCTTGGGTCGTCGTGACGCGAACCCGTCGTGCCCGCCTGCTGCTGACGATTTCGGCGTGTGTTGTGGCCGCGCTCCAGGGCTAGTCTAACGCAACACGTCCCCTATACTTATCGGTGCACCCTTTAACGCCCACATCGTTGTTCTCTTCTTCCGCGAGTGTAGCGGGTAGTTCCAGCAACGCAATCCGACCTTCTCACCCCCCTCTTGATGCCAGACGGAGGTCCCACTCCCGTCCCTCCCAGGAAGGAAGAGCGAAGAGGAGGAGGAGGAGGAGGAGGAGGAGGAGGATGAGGCGGAGGAGGAGGAGGAAGCGGAGGGAGGAGGAGGAAGGAGGAGGGAGGGGCAGGGTGGAGGGGGAGGGAGGACGGAGGGACGCGGGAGGAGGAGGGAGGAGGAAGAGGGAGGGTGGCGAGGGGGGGGGGGGGCGGGGAGGAAGAGGCCCCTCCGACTTCGCCACGGCGCGGCCCCTCCGCGCCCCCCTGGAGACGCCGCGCCGAGGACATCGCCTGGGCCTGCGGGGTCCTGGCGCCCCTGGGCGTGCGGAAGGACATGACCCTGGTGATCCAGCCCCCGCCCCGCCTGGCCATGCCGGTGCTGCGGGGCCTGCAAGAGGCCGCGATGGGGGAGGGGGGGGTGGGGGAGGAGGAGGAGAAGGAGGACGAGGAGGAGGAGGAGGAGGAGGAGGCGCCAGATCGGCACTCATCCGAAAGGCTTCGCCCCCTTTCTGGACAGGTCGGAAAGACGAGGAGGAGGGTGGGGAGGGAGAAAGCCGTGGGGGGAAGCATGAGGAGGAGGAGGAGGAGGAGGAGGAGGAGGAGGAGGAGGAGGAGGAGGAGGAGGAGGAGGGGGAGAAGGAGGAGGAGAGGAGGAGGAGGAGGAGGAGGAGGAGGAGGAGGAGGGAGGAGGAGGAGGAGGAGGAGGAGGGGGAGGAGGAGGAGGAGGAGGAGGAGGAGGAGGAGGAGGGGGAGGAGGACAAGGAGAAGGGCGAGGACGAGGAGGAGGAGGAAGAGGAGGGTGGGGGGAGCAGGGAAGGAGGAGGAGGGGGGGGGCCGCCCTCGAGGAGGGGCGAGGAAGCGGAGGTTTCCGGTTCGGGGCTCGAGGTTTGCAGGCTTTTCCGTCGATTCTCGGCGGCTTCCAAGCCTTGGGAGGCCTTCCAGCGGCTGCACTTCGCCGAAGGCTCAAGGGGACTGAATGATGCAGGCATGGAGGGGGGTTGAAGGCTGAAGGCATGGAATCGGCTCCGCTGCTGCGCCCGGTCGGGGCGGCCAACGGCTCCCAGGGGTCCGCAGGGGCCCCGCGAGACCCGGTGGGGGGCTTGGCATCGTTCGGGCGTGTGCATTTTTTCTCGGCGAGGATCATCGAGGACCATCCTGGACCGTCGAGCCAAAAAGACACGCACGAGATCGAAAAATGCACGGGAAGTGGACGTCCGACCACGGCAAGGGGGGGGGGGGTATCCCGAGGACAGCGAGCTGCGGGGCCGCCGCCGAGGGCCGAGGGTGCCCAATCGCCACGACTCCCCATGGAGGCGCAGGAGAGGGAGGAGCGCGCGGTTGGAGCAGCGCTTTTCCGTGCAGAAAATCGGCGCGCCGCGTCGCCAAAACAGAGGCGCCGCGTGCCTCCCAGGAGGGGGAAAACACACACAGACACAATTCCTCGTCCACTCCCAGGAATCAGAGCCCCGAATCATCAGGGGTAGCTCGGGTCAGGGATAACTCGGGTTCGTTTTTCGGGAATCCAAACCCGAGTTACCCCGGACCCGAGTTACCCCGGATAACTCGGGCGTCCAGAGCCCCGAATCATCAGGGGTATCTCGGGTCAGGGCTAACTCGGGTTCCTTTTTCGGGAATCCAAACCCGACTTACCCCGGACCCGAGTTACCCCGGATAACTCGGGCGCCCAAAGGAAAATATGGGAAACCCAGAAAAACTTTGGAAATATGGGGAGCCCTGTTATTTGTGTGTGTATTTATTTGTGTGTCCCAGGGCCCCCCTTCAGCCTCATGCTTCTAGTGGTATACTTTCCCCGATGCGTGGAACGGCGCCCGCGCGCCAGATCCATGGAGTCCAAATTCGGGTTCGCGTGCGCCCGAGTGTTGCACGCCGGTCGTCGAAAGTCAGTATTTCCAGACTCCCCGAACCCAGTGTACTTCAGGCGCCTTCCGACTCCAAGAGTCGGTATGCTTTTGCTGTGTGGTGTCATTGTCTGGGAGGGCCTGCTCCTAGTCTGCTTTATCCGCCTTCCTACCTCATCTTCTTTGTGTTGCCTACTTTCTCCGACCGGCGCGTATCGCACCTCGCGGCGCAGCTCCTCTGTCTCCTGCGCTACCTTTGTGTGCCCCGGAAACGGCAGGGCCGTTTTGTCACCGTTTCCCCAAAAATGTCCTTGAAATTGGAAACGGCAAAAAAACGGCGACCGGAAACAGCAACAAAACGGCTCCAGGATTGGAACCGGAGCCGGAACCGGTCAAACAACGGCGACGGAACCGGTAAAAAAACGGCGTCGGAACCGGCAACAAAAACGGCAAAACGGAACCGGTTCAAAAACGGCCTTGTCGTTTCCAGGGCCTATTATCGGGAGACTCTTCATGGGGGGGATCCCATGGGGGGATAGGATCCCAGGGGGGGGATCCCATAGGATCCCCTGGGGATCCCATGGAGAGTCTCCCGATACTAAGTGCGCTACCCCTGGCCTTCGGGGGCTCGCGAGACCCGGAGAGGGAGCTCCCAAGAGCAACAGGCCAGGGGGTCGCCGCCGAGGGTGCCCAGGGTCCTCGTCTCGAGAGAGCGCAAAGATTCAGAGATGCTCGTTTTGGGGGGCCCTTCCTGGGGCCCACGTGATGGAGCGAGCTCGACTCGAGCTCGACTCGAGCTCGACTCAGGTTCCACTCAGGCTCGACTCAGGGTCGACTCAGGGCCGACTCGGATCGACGGACGTGCGGCGCAGCTCCGGTGCGCGAGTGGAGCGAGTGTACAGCCGGGTTCCATTAGTAGGTCGGCCCTGCGAAGTCAAGGGTGCTCTTGTGTCCTGTGCATCGCGCGTCGTGTCCTCTGCGGCCGAAGGGCAGGGTACCCTTGCGTCCTGTGGTTTTGGAGGCCATGTTGCCGTCGGAAGAGTCTTGTGTCCTGTCGCGCGTCCTGTGCGCAATAACCCGCCTGTATCCAGGAAGGTCTCCAGAGTGAGCACCCAGAAGGATGGATGAACGCGCGCGTGGCTCAGCGACGGGTGCCGCAGCCGTGCATGCAGCGGCGCGCTGCGCCACCAGACGAGGAGAGGTGGCGCGTGCTCCGGGCTTCCGGGGGTGCTTTTTTTCCCCGGTGCGTGGATTTGGCGCGCTCACGCGTCAGATCCACGAGTCCCTAGCTCTATGTCGGGCGCGTCCCCCTACAGGGGGATTTTCGACGAAAAACAAAAAATACCCTAAAAATGCCCCAAAACGGCAACAAAAAGACTGAAAAATAGTCCCCAGACTATTTTTGGATGATTTGTTGAATTTTTTGGGGGTATTTTTTATTTTTCGTCGACAATCCCCCTGTATTGGGACAGGCCCGAACTCAGGTTAGCGTGTGTCGCGTGCCCGAAAGTTCTTGCACCTCGCGGTGCCGCTCCACCTCCTCCTGCGCCTTCGCGTCGCAGCGTGGCTCCTCTGCCTCCTGCGCCTCGCGGCGTTCTTCTCACGCGATCGCCGCCTGCCGGCTTGTAAGACCGTGGAGCTCGGCGACCGTCCCCAGGGCCCAGGGCCTCCGCCCTTCCAGGCCTGATCTGGCTGTAGAGGGACGGGGGATGATGCTGATGCTGCTGCTGATGAGGCTGATGATGATGCTGATGCTGATGCTGATGCTGATGCTAATGCTGCTGCTGCTGCTGCTGCTGCTGCTGCTGATGATGATGATGATGATGATGATGATGGTGATGGTGATGGTGATGGTGATGGTGATGGTGACGGTGATGTCGATGATGATGATGATGATGATGATGATGGTGGTGATGATGATGATGATGATGGTGATGATGGTGACGGTGATGATGATGATGATGATGATGATGATGATGATGATCATGATGATGTTGATTATTATCAGACGACGATGATGCTGATGCTAATGATGATGACGACGATGATGATGATGTTAATGATGATGGTGGTGGTGGTGACGGTGGTGGTGGTGATGGAGGAGGAGGAGGAGGAGGAGGAGGAGGAAGAGGAGGAGTGCGGAGAAGGTGAGACAGCGGGGGGAGGAGGGAAGAATGACGGAGGAGGAGGACGAAGATGAGGACCAGAGTAAACCAACGACGCATCAACGATGTTGCAACAAACCCTCCTTTCAAGTTCCCTCTTCACAGGTCCCTACAAGGATGTCGTTTTCATTGCGGGGAGTGCCCCGTTGCTACCAACCTCTTGAGAACCATCAGTCGCCCCGAAATACAACCCCCTAGGGCTTCAGCGCCACGAATCAACGTGGCCGCTGCGTCCTGACAATCCTGAACCGTGCCAGAACACCATTCGTGCGACCTCAGCACCGCGAATCCACGAGTCTGTTGCGTCTTGTCAACCCCGAATCGCGCCAGAGCACCGTTCCTGGGACGCCAACCATGCGAATCCTTCAATGCGTTACAACTGTTCAAGGCGAACGCGCGCGGTGCGAAGGCGAGGGCCGCATTTTAACAGGGAGCCACCCTCCAGCCTCGAAGCTGCAGCAAATTTTGTAAGAGGAAGGTGCGCGGCGCTGAGGCGAGAGCAACAAATTGGAAAGGACCCGCTCTCCATCCACGAGGTTGCTGCAAACCTTCCTTTTGCGGAATGTGCGCGGCGCTTCGGCGAGAGCCACAATTGTTCAAAGAAGCCGCCCGCCATCCGAAGAAGTGTTTGCACACTTGTAGTACGAATATGCGCAGCGCTGAGGCTGAGGGCGAGCAACATTGAGGAATGGACATGCCCTGCTTTGAAACTGTTGCAGATACCAGGGTTCGAAGTATATTGGCAAGGCAGTCTCAGGCGAAACGCCCGGCCCGCCATACCGACACAGATGAGGGCGCGACAGGGAGGAGCAGTTTTTATATAAGGACAAGGGGTGGAGGCAGGGAAGGGGGGCAGGGGGAGGAGGAGAATGAGGCAGGAGATAGGGCGCGGAGGGCGGAGAAGGGAGCGAGGGAGGAAAGAACGACGGAGGAGGGAGGAGTGAGCGAATGAGCGAAGCAGCGAGAAAGCAGGGTGAGGGAAGAGCCGGGAGAGACGGATCCAGAGAGAAGGGCAGCCGGAAAGCGGGAGGAGGAAGGGAAGAGTTGGTAGGTAGGAGTAAGATTCAGAACTAGTCAGAGGGCCCGCCCACTCCCACCCTTCCTCCCATAACACACAATCATTATTCTGCGCAGCTGTGTTTTAGAATTACGACTTCTTTATTTTCGTTCGTCGTCGTCGTTCGGTCGTCGTTCGTCCTCCCCCCCCCGGCCACGGAAGAAAACTCCTGGAGGAAGGAGGCAAAAGCCTCCTGTCCCTCGCAGCTCCTTGGTGCAAGAGCCAGGGCACGCGTGCCGCTTGTTATCTCTTACCGGCACAGCTGGACACTGGAACTCGCAGATGCCCCCGCAACGGTTGCAGGGCGCTCGCGCGCCCTTCGCCTCTCCGCTGCCGACGAACTGGCGCAGGGAGAGTACGGGCAGTGCTCAGGCAGTCACGAAGCACCCAGTACACACCCGAAAGGCGCAACGGCGAAAGCACCAGTCAGCCCACTTGCATGCGGCCACGCTTCCGATGGGACTGGCGGAGGCCAAACGTGCGCCGCGCCAAGGCGAGGGCGACGCTGCTGCAGGCAAACGCTGCACGGCGCTCCTGGGCAAACGTGACGTTTCGCCCGCTCGCGCGCGGCCCTGCTTCAGCTTCCGACGACTGGGCACGCGAAACAGATGCGCCGCGTCCAAGCGATAGCGCCCCTTTCAGGCGACATCTGCGCGCCGTGTCTGGAGGGAGCGGCATGTCGCTCAGCCGCTCGCGCGCGACCCCGTTGCCGATTAATTCGCGAGCGACGAATATGCGCCGCGCACAAGCAAGAAGTCTGCCCGCCTCGTTCCCCCCCCATGGTGAAAGCGCATACGGCGAAGGAACATCAAGTATTCCAAGGCCCCTGGGACCTTTCCCCCCCTGTGCAAACCTCCTCCTCTCCCTCATTCTACCCTTGCCGTTCCGCCCCTCCGCCCCCCCCGCTCCGCCCCCGTCTTTCGACCGCTATCCTGAGTCACATCACCGTCGGCTTTGCCACCATCTTTGCTCTGCAGCGCCAGCACTGTCCCCCAGCGGCCTCGGCAGGCATCTGCGGCCGAGGGCGGGGAGAAGCTGGTGAGGGATGCGCTGAAGGAGCCCGACCTGGGCCTGGGCAAGCTCGTTAACGGCCTCCGCCGCCGCGCCCTCAGATTCTGTTGCCGCCTGGCGCCGTCGCGGCGCTGGCGGTTCCAGGGGGGAGGCGGAGGCATGCACAGCGGGGAACCAGAGTGAGTGTGTCTGCGCCCGCGACTAGACATGAATGTGTACGTGTATGCGTGTGTGAACTAGTATCCGTGCACGGCCCCCGACCCCGTGCGTGCGTGCCGCCGCCGTTTTGGCTGCCCACGGGGGTCTGTCCTTGCGCAAGCTACAGTGCGACTGGCCTTGCATGCTCGCGGACAGAGCGCGAGGCTGCTATATCATCCATTGCTGCTTCTGCTGTGTGCTGGGGGCGCTCATCACATCAGCGGTGGCCCAGAGGAGTGAATGTCACAACGTGACTTTGAACGGGCGATTGCCAAAACATCAGCAGATCCCATTCAAACTGGACTTCTGTGACCGGCGTTTTGGGGGGAATTCGCGCTGATTGATATGCGGCCCCCTTTGGGGGCCCAAACCCTCGTGTTCCCGCCTTCGTCCTTGCGAACAGGGCCGACGTCGAGACATTATGCCCACGCACACATAGTCTCATACGCACTCCTCCTAGGGAGTAGAGCTTAGAGGCTCTGAGGTGGCTATCGGTATCGCCGCCCATTCTTCGAATGGTAGTTTTGCTCGGGACAGCCTCGCAGCTCTGATGACCCGACGCACTCACGCAGATCACGACGTCACGGTCCAAACGCCAATTGGTAGTCCAATCGTTCTGCGCGAGACAATCTAGACACGCAATGGTTTTCAATGATGTTGCACGTCGTCTTCTCTCAACACCATTTCTTCTGCAGGATTCGAGATGTATTTCTCCAATGTTCGTCGAACCTTTGTTTTTCATGTCCGCAGGGCTGTGCCTCAAAAATTAGTCGAATCGCAAGCTGTGGCATCCCTGTCTTTGACCCCCCGCGTCGTTTCCACTGCAATCGCAAGGTGCCAGAGGAAGCCCAACCTGCGCCAATATCATCACAGATGTGACACCCCCCTTCCTCACTCCCCTGCGCTCTCCCCGCCTTTGGGATACATCCAACATGTCGTCACACAGGGAATCAGACTCACCATACATATCTTCACCATCGGCGACCCAGATTCTCATTACCTCCACGAGTGCCTCGCAGGGCGTTTTGGGATACACCGGGCGAGTCTCACTACAGGCCCTTGCAACATCTTCTCCTTGCACATCCTCATGCACACGTCCATGGTTAAGGTATACAGACACTGGTGCACCAGTTGTGCTGCTGTCCATGATTGCAGGGGCACTTCTGACCATTTCGTCTAAGCGCAAGTTGTGGCACACCCATCGTTGCCCTCCCCCTTCTTCCTAACTGCAACCCAAAAGATGTTGAAGCCCCACCTGCGCAAGACTCATCGCAGAGTTGTGGCAACCCACTTGTGCTCGACTGCGCCCCCGGTAGTTACCGCACCTCATTCTGAGCACCTGACGGCGTCATTTCAGTCTGTCCCACAAAGGCGCCCATGCGACTGGCCATATTCCGAATGCGCTAGGTAACATCCTGCAGATATGTGCTATGTGCCGGGGCACGCAAGTGACACGTGTGTATATATATATATATATATATACACATTTGCATACGGAGAGTGGAGAGAGAGAGAGAGTGAGTCTGTGTGAGAGAGAAGAACGGGGGGGAAGTAGGAGAGAGAGATATCTATAGAGAGAGGGAGAGAGAGAGATAGAGAGAGAGAGAGAGGGAGAGAGAGAGAGAGAGAACACATCAGAAGTGAATCATCGACGCGGAGGTCCCCACATAGGAAAATTCCAGAAACAGGGCTCACATTTCGGGTTGGAACTTGTGTTCTCAGTGTTTGACGGGTGGACCAGGGACTCGCCTGGCGCCCCGCCGTGGCCGCTTCGTGTTCACTTCGCTCAGGGTGGGTGGACCGGGGATTCGATGTGGGCCTTGCTGTGACCACCTTGTGGCAGCCCACGTGTTTCTCGAAAATACAAATACGATATCATATTATTTTTGTTGTCGTTGATACCACTACTACTGACTACCATTGCTATCACTACTACTCCTGCTACTATTACTACTACTACGACTACTATTACTACTACTACTATTACTACTACTACTACCACTACTACTACTACTACTACTACTACTACTACTACTACTACTACTACTACTACTAATATTGTTATTACGACGACGACTACTAGTACTACTACTACTACTACTGCTACTACTACTTCTACTCTTACTCTTACTCTTACTACTACTACTACTACTACTACTACTACTACTACGACGGCTACTATTACTACTATTACGACTACTGCTACTACTAGTCCCACTACTACTACTACTACGACTACTACTACGACTACTACTACTACAACTACTACTACTACGTCTACTACTACTACTACTACTACTACTACTACTACTGCAACTACTACTACTACCACCACTACAACCACTACTGCGACTACGACGACTACTACTACTACTACTACTACTACTACTACTACTACTGCTACGACTACTACTACTATCACCACTACTCTTACTACTATCACTACGGTTGCTACCACTACGACGACTACTACTATTACTACTATTGTGACGCTGTCTTTTATGATTACCACTACTACTACTACTACTACTACTACTACTACTACTACTACTACTACTGCTGTTACTACTAATTCTAACATGGTCCTTTTACGGCGACTACTGCTTTACCTACTACCGCTACTACCACTACTGCTACTACGATGACTAGATCTTTTAAATATTACAACTACTACTACTATTATCACCACTACCACTACTACTACTACTACTACTACTACTACTACTACTACTACTATTACTACTAGCACTACTACTAGTTATTTCAACTACCACTCGCAGTACTGGTACAATCTTTTTTTGGTAACTATTACGTCAATCAACTTCATCTACTACCACTACTTCTACGATTGGTCGCACCAGTCCTGCTTTTGTGACTACGACTACTACCACCACTACTACTATCACTACTACTACTACTACTACTACTACTACTACTACTACTATTAGTACCCGTACTAGTATCACCACACATTCTATTAGCATTACCCTTACTACTACAACAACAACTACTACTACTACTACTACCACTACTAAACATACTACTAAAGTTACCACCGCTACTACCACTCCGGCTACAACAGCTACAGCACTGAGTGCGAGCATCGCGAATTATACCACTATGTATCAGATTCTCCTGGATACGATTTCTACGAAGAGTATTTGTTTTATCATTACAACTACTACACCCGCTATTTGAAAGAGGAGATCGCGACGACTAAATGATCACTGCTGCCACTCTTATTATTTACATTTCAACTGTTCTGTGTATTTCCGCTTTGATTAGTACGACGATTACAATTACGACTAGTACAACCACTACTACTACCACTATTAGTACGACTACGACTACTACTTACTACGACTACTCCTACGATTACGACTACTACTCCTACGACTACTATTAGTACGACTACGACTGTTACTGCTACCAGTCACTACAAATTACTCATTGCCAGCTCCTTTTGCTACTACTACTACTACTACTACTACTACTACGATTACTACTACTACTACTACTACTACTACTACTACTACTACTACTACTACTACTACTACTACTACTTACTACGATTACTATTACTACGACGATTACTACTATTACTACTACTACTGCTACTACTACTGCTACTACTACTACTACTACTACTATTACTATTACTACTACTACTACCACTACTACTACTACTACTACTACTACTACTACTACTACTACGACTACTACCAGTCACTACTAACTACTCATTGCCAGCTGATTTAACTACTACTACTACTACTACTACTACTACTACTACTACTACTACTACTACTACTACTACTACTACTACTTACTACGATTACTATTACTACGACGATTACTACTATTACTACTACTACTGCTACTACTACTGCTACTACTACTACTACTACTACTACTATTACTATTACTACTACTACTACCACTACTACTACTACTACTACTACTACTACTACTACCAGTCACTACTAACTACGCATTATCAGCTGATTTTACTACTACTACTACTACTACTACTACTACCACGACTACTATTACTACTACTACTACTACTACTACTACTACTACTACTACTTGCACTGCTACTACTACTACTACGACGACGACTACTACTACTATCACTACAACCCTCACTATCCCTACTACTCTTACTACTCTTTTCTACTACTACTACTAGTACTACTACTACTACTACTACTATTATTACTACTACTACTATTACTACTACTACTACTACTACTACTGCTACATGTACGACTACGATTACGACTACGACTACGACTACGACTTACTACGGCTCCTAATACTAGTACTATTACGACTACGACTGCTGCTACTACTATATTGCGAAGATTGCGTCTATTACGGTTAATTACGTGACCACTTTTTGGGTGATAAGGGGGTTTGGTGGGTTGGGTTGGAGAAAACAGCGTGTCAATCGATCCCAGTATCGTTTTCTGGATAGATCTCACAGTCGATCTCGCGTGGTATCTCATTATCGTTCGCGCCATCTATCTCATTCTCGATTTCACCATCGTTCCACTTTCGATTTCACCATCGATCGCACGATCGGTTCCATCATCCGTCTCACCATCGATTTCGCGCGATCGGCCACGCTCGATCGACCTCACTCGGTCGACCCCACGATCGATTTCACAATCGGGCTCAGTATCGATTTCCTTATCGATCTTACGACCCATCGATCTTACCACCGGTTTAGCTATGAATCTCCCAGTCGATTGCACAATCAATCCAACGAACGATTTCACAATCGATTTTACGAACGTTTTTGTGACCAGTCTCACGATCGATTTCATTATTGTTTTCATTCGGGGCACCGACGGGACACCCTTTGTCACCTCTGGACATCCGGGGGGGAGGCTGTCTTTGGGCACGGCGGTGCCTTAGCCAACGGAACGTTCATTCTTCTCGCCCGCCGCTGCAGCTTCGCCAGCACGCACGAATTTGATTTCCTGGTTGGGTTTTCTCTGTTTCATTGCGATCTCACCCCGCCGCCCCCGACTAGTATTATCTCTATTACGACTGCGGCTAGGACTACTACTTCTACTACGACTACTACGACTGCGATTGTCGCGGTGACCACGATTTGTATTATTATCATTATTATTATTGTTATTATTACTGTTAGCGCGACTAACCGTTTTACCACTACTTTCATCATTACTACTCGTGGTATTCCAATTTGGTGCGGGTGCGATTGCCATTGCCACCGCTTCAATCTACGATGTTTGAATCTACTCGCAATGCGATATGTACGCTTTATATTCGCGAAAGTTCCCACGGCTATGTTTACGTTTTTCGTGTTTTTGTTAAATTATCGTTTTGTTGCCACTACTATTTTTCCTTCTGTTATTCCGACTACTACTACTGCTACTACTTTACTACGACTACTACTATTACTACTACCACTACTACTACTACTACTACTACTACTACTACTACTACTACTACTACTACTAGTACTACTACTACTACTCCTACTACTACTACCACTACTACTACTACTACTACTACTACTACTACTACTACTACTACTACTATTACTACTACTACGACTACCAATGCTACCGCTACTACTACTGCTGCTACTACATATCGCACAATTAGCCCTACCACTACTACTTCTACTACTACCACTACTACTACTACTACTACTACTACTACTACTACTGCTACTACTACTACTACTACTACTACTACTACTACTACTACTACTACTACTATTACTACTACTACTACTACTACTACTACTACTACTACTACTACTACTACTACTACTACTACTACTACTACTACTACTACTACTACTACTACTACTACTACTACTACTACTACTACTACTACTACTACTACTACTACTACTACTACTACTACTACTACTACTACTACTACTACTACTACTACTACTGACTGCGACTACTACTACTACTCTTACTACCTCCATTACTACCACTACGACTACTATTACTACGACTACGACTACTACAACAACTACTACTACTACTACTACTACTACTTCCACCACCACGACCACTACCATTATCAATAGAAGCGGCCGAATCATCATGTTGGCGTTGTGGACGCTTTCACCTCGCCATCGCACAATACCATGGACGATGCCATCCAAGATCTCGCGTTCTTCGAACTCGATGACCTGTCTCAAGCAGAAGAATAGATTCATTCTTCAGCTATCGCCGAGCAGGATGACTGATTGCTGCAACAACATCGCCGACGCGATACGTGCGTTCTTCGTTCGCCCTGTATCCCTGCAGAGTTTTTTTGCAGAGAGGCACCTTCCGACTCATCGGCGTCGCCGCGAGCGATCTCCGCGCGCCGCGCTGGCAAGCGGTGCAAGCGTGGGGCCTGATGGCAGGATCCTAACCAGTTGGCCCCCATCCCCCCTCGACTCCAACATCGCGGACATGTCCACCGCAACGTTCGTCGGCAATCTGCGCGAGCAGCTCGCCATCACCACGTCGCACGGCACGCGCGAGACAGCAGAAGCGCGACTCCTGCCGCGACAGCGCGCGCGACAAGCGCGCGATTGCGCGGCGCGAGGGCCAACGTGAAAATGCCGCGCAATTTGTCGGCGCGCTTTCTCGCGCCCGCCAGGCGAATGGCGCGCGCGCGCGGCAGGGCGGCGGAGCTGCATTGAGCCCGGCGCGATTTCCAATGCCCCACTTGCACTGCACGTTGTTCGCCCGAGCGTAACTTGCGAGCCCGGGCTGCGACGGGAGCTTGGCCCTTCTTCGAACGGTTCTGGTTCGCGCAGATTGACTGAGGAGTTCGGGCGCATGTATATTGCTGCGCGGCGGGGTCTACATTGCTGTCTGGTCCTGCCGCCATCGCTCTCAACGCGCGCGACGACAGCGTCGCCGACGCGCGCGCCGCGCATTGCGCGCGCGAGCGCACGAAAGACAACGCCACGCAGAATGACATATCGACGGCAGCATCAAACACGCATCCGTCCCAAGTGCACATGCGCGCGCAACCATGGATCAGCTGGCGCATTTTCTCTGTCGCGCATTCCACGTTTAAGATGTTTTTCAGACGATGCGCCGCCGAACCCTCCATCATCGGATGCACGTCGCCGCGACGTTTGGCCGCGCGCCTCGCGGCGCTCGGGATTCGGGGATTGACCGCCTTGGGCCGCGGCAGCTGGCGACGGGAGCCCAGGCTCTCGCCGCGCTGGAGAGCGCGCGCTTTCTTGAAGGTGTTTCGATTTGACAGTTGCTCAACGTGCCCGACTCGAACGATTTGACAGTTGCTCAACGATTTGACATATTAGAACGTTTGGGGCCGTCTGCGCCTGCCCCATCATCGCGTTCATTGCCATCTGCCGAGTGCCAGGGCGCACCCGCGCTCGCCGGCGGCGGCGACGCGCGCGCGCGCGCGCCCCGCCCTCCGCGCGCAGGCCGCGTGCAATTTGCACGGCCGCGCGTTCGAGCGCGACGACAGATGCGCACGCAATCGCCACGTGGGCCCAAGACACGACGCTGCCGCAGCTCTGCGGAGCGCTGCGCGCCCGTCGGAGCCACGCGCATTGGAAAACGCTAGGATGTCACGCCCCCGGACCCGCTGGGAACTCGAGCAACCTCCTGCGGGGATTTCTGGCCGGCGAGCGCGAAAGTAGGGCGGCCGGAGTGCTGCGCGCCGCAACTTCCGTCGCCAGCGGGCCCCGACAGCTCGGCAGAGGGGCCCCGGGCTCGCCGCCGGCAGGGGCAGGGCGGCAGGCCAGCGGCGGCGCCCTGCGGGGATGGCCCCCCGGGCTAGCCTCGCAGCTCTCTTTTTTCTTCCCGTCGCCAAGCTGGCGCTCAGTATTGTCGGGCCGGGGAAAAGGGGGGATTGGGAAAGGGGGGGGGTCGAAATTTGCTGCATGCAGCTGGTTTCGGCCCCGCCGAGGGGCCCATTCCTCGATGCATGGGCGCCTCCCGGCGCCGGGAGGCGCCGGGAAAGTCAGCTACGTGAGCTGATTCTCCCCCCCCCCCCCCTTTGCTATCCCCCCCTTTCGCCCGACCCGATATTGTTATGGCGCCAAGGATGTTGAAGGCAATCGAGCTGGAACGCTGCCGAATGAACGACGGTTGCGAGCGGTTTGCCCAGCGGGCAAAAGCTATGCGGAGGCAGCGAAGCAGCACTCGAAGAATCGGATGCAGGTGAAGCTCGCGAACTCGGGGCTATCCTCGAGCACACAGATGGAGCATGTGGGTCCAAGTCGCCAAGAGAGAGTTGCAGGAGCAAGAGCTGGACCCTCCTCAAGCAGCGACCTCCGACGCGCACATTCAGAAGAAGCTGTCCGGCAGCACCGGCACCAGAGTGCACCGTTTCACTGTTATGAGGGAGGTCTGCCACGCTCGGCGCTGCAATGCATGCGACAACATGGCCAAGAGGCTCGAGTGCAACGCAGCCGCTGGCATCGACAGCGACGAGCTGTGCCAGGAGATCCTCGTGCCTTTTTTCCAGCGCGCGAAGGCGATCGAGCTCCACGGATTGGCTCCACCTGGCAGCTTCGAGAGAGGACGCAGGCCGCGATCGACAAGATCGGGGCGCAGCGTGCCTTGTGCGAGGTCATCCAGCTTCGCGCGGGCTGCCGAATGACAGTTCTTCCTTCCATCTCTTTTCGCCCTCCCCCTTCCCCTCCCCTTCCCTTCAGTGTGCCTCAGGGTTTCGCAGATGGCAGTTCGCGTACGGATGGCTCGCCGCAAACCTTTACAGCAGAGCCAGCCTGAATTGAACGACGCCTAGTAGTGAGACGTGTGCGCGTTCGTGCCACATGCATGAGAGCACGGCGTTCGCGGCCTTTCGCTCTTCGTGAAGTTTCAGGGCTTGCGTGCACTGTCGGCGGGCGGCCTAGCTCGTGCCACCAAGCCCGCACTTGCGCATCTCAGATCTCTGAGCGTTAAATACTCCGTGTTCGCCCGTCTTTTCCCGGTTGATGTCAAAGGCGTTCGCACAACCGTTCTTGTAAGGAGTTATTATCACACATTTTGGAATTCTTCCTCCTTTTCCTCCTCCTCTTCCTCCTGCTCCTCTTGCTCTTCCTCCTCCACCTCCGCCTCATCCTCTTCCTCCTCTTCTTCTGCCTCCTGGGGATCATCTTCCTGCTGCAGGCGCAAGTTTCGCTTCCAGACGCCGCGCGGAGGGGGGGGGGCAGCCGAGGTCACGCCAACCCAGAGGTGGCGGCCATCTCCAAGGAGCCGGCCTCGCCCTCCTTCTCCTCCTCCTCCTCCTCCTCCTCCTCCTCCTCCTCCTCCTTTCTCCTCCTCCCCCCCCTCCTCCCCCTCCTCCCCCTCCTCCTCCCTCGTCCCCCTCGTCCTCGAGGTGATCCTGGTCACGCCCGAGAACTCCAGAAGCCTCTGGGTGCTGGGTAGTCCCCAAGAGGTGGCCGTAGCCGGCTGTTCCTGGGCCCCCGGAAGCGGGGAACTTCATGCGACCCAGCGCTTCGCTCTGCCCTGGGGCAACGCATCCTTCCAAGGGGCTCCCACAGGCCCCAGACCCGAGAGGCTGAGCTGGACGACAGGAAGTTTTCCGGCGTGGGGTGCGGGGGGGTCAAGTTCCCAATGGACCGACGCAAGCTATCTCGATCATGTCCAAATTCGCCCCCCCAGGCGTAGAAGTCGCACCCGAGAGTCAGTACAGGCAGAGGTCGTCATCGGACGGGGCCACTGGGAACAGAACGCCAGGTGTCAGGAGGAAAAGGAACACACAGACACAATTAATCCTCGATTCCCCAGAAAATATGGGAAAATATGGGAAGCGGGCGGGAAGACAGAGACCCAGAAAAGATGGGAAAATATGGGGAGCATTTTCATTTGTGTGTATTTATTTGTGTGTCCTGAGGCCCCTTCTTCAAGGTGCGCGACGCTCGAGCGTGCCAGGCGCGCCTGGTGGTGCTCCATTTGCGCCGTGCAACATGCTCCAGCCGCGCCGGGTGCGCAATGCGTGCCGAGTGCGCCAGGCGGCGGCACGTGCGCCATTGCACGTGACAGCACACATCGGGTAGCATGTCGACCCCGCAACCATCGCTAACATCGGCCAGGACGGAGCGATGGCAGGGTGGTCAGCATGGTTTATGACGTGTGCACCAGCAGTCGGTTTGCATGTGCTTCTGATTCGGACAGTGGGAGAGCGCAAAGCGGACATGCACAACGACACCCCCGTGACCCCGATCAACGGCCAAGACAGAGACATCGCGGAGCGACCGATCATGATCCAGATTTTGTCGCCGCACGCGGTCTCTATTGGTTTCTATTGTTTCTGGCAGGGACGGTGAGGGCGTGCCCTCATTGCTGCTGGTCAGCGGCCGGTCGAGCGGGGGAACGGACGGTTATCTATACGGGTCAGCGGTGAACCCTGTCCAAGAAGACGAGGACAAATATCCGTTCCAGAGCATTCCGCAACGCGCTCAGAGCGTTCCGGACCGCTCTGAGAAGGCCGCGGCGCCCAAGACATTTTCCAGAGCCGCCCGATCTCAGAGATTTTTGATTTATCGTCACCCGATTGAATCCTCGTCTTGGCTTCGTCTTAGGAAGGAGAGGTGCTTGGAAGAGGAAGCGATCTGAGCCACCTGCGCTCAGGGGGGATGTTGGGGCTGTTGGGTTCTGTCGGGAGCTACAGGGGGTCCTCCGTCTCCTCATGTTGGCTTCCCCTCCTCTTCCTCGTCCTTCTTTCTGGTCGCTCCCCTTCCGTCTCCTCGTCATCCTACCCCTCACCCCTATCCCTCCTGTTGCTCCTTGTCGTCGTCGTCCTCCTCCTCCTCCTCCTCCTCCTCCTCCTCATGCGGACCTGCGCTTTGTGGACCGCCAGTCTCATCGTGATCCTCCTCGTCTTCCTCCTCCTTCTGCTGTTCTTCCTGGTGATATTCTCGTCGTCGTCTTCTTCCCCTCCAGGAGGAGGAAGAATAGCAGGACAGGCTTATTTGCCATTCGCTGCATCGGGTGCGGGCGCAACGACTAGGGGCGATATTACGCCCCGTCCAGAAGGATGAGGTGGGAGGGTGTTACGTCTTCTTCATGATCCTGCTTCTTCGCACGCGACGCGGAGACGTGCGACACGTCTGAGCGCGTTGTGGCCCCTCTTCTTCCCTCTCCTCTGAAGAGAGAGAGAGAGAGAGAGAGAGAGAGAGAAAAAAAAAGAACAAAAAAAACGGAGAGAGGAAGGAAGGGTGGGAACGAGGATGGAGAAAGGAGGAGGAGGGCGGAGGGAGCAGGGTGCAGAGAGGAAGGGACGAAGGAACGAGGAGGAGGAGGAGGAGGAGGAGGAGGAGGAGGACACAAACGCATGACAGGCCATACCCGACAGTGCATCCGGGAGCGCGTGGCTCTGACGCGCGATGGTCTCCCCAATCCCCTCTGCCTGCTGCGCGGCGGCCAGGCTGCCCCGAGCCCGAGGGCCATCGGGAGCCATGGGGCCTCTTAGGTTCGACGAGCACCCAAGGCGGCGAGGGGCGCGGAGTCGTTGGCAGGCCGCCGGGGACAGCCCTATATATATATATATATATATATATATATATATATATATGTTTGTGTATATATATACATATATACACGTATATATATGTATATATATATATATATATATCATTGAAAGCCTGCCCGTGTCTGCCCGGGGGGCCCGCGGCGGGTGGAAGACCGCTGGCGGCATGCGGCCGCAAGGGAAAGGGGGGCCCTCCCCACCCGCCGCTCCACACCCCCCCCTCTCGCACGGTGCCTGGCGGCGGCGGCGGGGGCGAGACGAGCGAGGCCTCGGCTGCAGGGCTCGGCGTGGCCGCGGGGACCGCGGGCCGTGGCCCGTCGGCCAGGGTGCTGGGCGTGGCTCCTGGTGTTGCGCGCGGGGGCGCGCCCGCGAGCTTGCCGGCGCGGACGGAAGGGTGGGCGACGTCCCCCGGCACCTCATGCGGAGTTGGTCGAGTGCAGCTCTCAAAAACAACAAAATTATCCGGGCGAAGGTCCCAACCTTATGCAGTTGTGGGTACCGTAATTGTGAATATCTGCTTCGGTGAAGCCCCCTATGGGGCCGCGAAGCGCTGCACTTGGCGGGGGGGAGCGCTGCACTGTGTGGGTGGTGTGCCGAATTGGGTTTCCGGGACGCATGCGGACGGTCCCACTGAGGGCTTCGGTGGAGCTCCCCATGGGGCCACGAAGCGCTCTACTAAGTGAGTGAAAATGCAAAATCATTGGTTTCCGTGACGCATCCGGACGGTCCAACTGGGGGCTTCGGTGGAGCCCCCTATAGGGCCATGAAACGCTGCACTGGGCGGGTGAAAATGCCAAATTACCGCAGCACCCCGCAAGTGTGGATAAGAGTGAGGGGGCGGGCGCGGGCGACGCGGGCGTCGTCGAGCCGGCGGACCTCGTGGCCCCTACCTTCCCTGTCGATGGCGCTCTCCTCCTCCTCCTCCTCCTCCTCCTCCTCCTCCTCCTCCTCCTCCTCCTCCTCCTCCTCCTCCTCCTCCTCTTCCTCGTCCTCGTCCTCATCGTCATCGTCATCCTCCTCCTCCACCTCGTCCTCCTCCTCCTCTTCTTCCTCGTCCTCCCTCTCCCCCCCTCGTCCTTTCATCATCGTCCTCCCATTGTCGTCCTCCCCCTCATCGGCCTCCATCATCGTCCTCCCATTGTCGTCCATCATCATCATCCTCCCCCTCCTCCCCCTCCTCGTCCTCCTCCTCCCCCTCCTCCCCCTCCTCCCCCTCCTCGTCCTCCTGCTCCTCCTTTTCTTTCTCCACATTATCCTTACATCCTCTCTTCTTCCGCGTCCTCCTCGTCCCCTGTTTTTTCCTCCTGCCTCCCCCTCCTTTCCCGAGATAACTGCAACGCAATCCTTTTTTCCACTTCGTGCTCCCCGACTTCCCTGATCAAGGCAACCCGCCAGGGCAAAGTTGCTGGACGGGCTGGTGTGGATGCGCGGAACTTGAAGAGGTCCTTGCGGGCTCAGACGGCATGCAAAAATCCGCCGCCGCGCTTCTGCGGCATTGGTTTGTTCAGTGAACGTGGTTTGGGTCGCGGGTGGGTCGCTGGCTCTCCACCTCCACCTGGAAGGAATGCAAAAGCAACCCGCCGCAGGCGCCCAAAAAGTTAGTTTGTACAGTGAACGTGGTTTGGGTCGCGGGTGGGCCGCGGGTTCTCCACCGGGAAGGAATGCAAAAGATGCCCGCCGCAGGCGCTGAAAAATATGGTTTGTACCCTGAACGTGATCGCGGGTGGGCCGCGGGCTTTCCACCTGAAACGAATGCAAAAGATGCCCGCCGCAGGCGCCGAAAAATGTGGTTTGTACCCTGAACGTGGTTTGGGTCGCGGGTTGGTCGCGAGTTGGTCACGGGGTGGGTCGCGGGCTCTCCACCTGGAAGGGATGCAAAAAAGCCCGCCGCAGGCGCCGAACAGTGTGGTTTGTAGCTTGAATGTGGTTTGGGTCGAAGGTGGGTCGCGGGTGGGTCGCGGGGTGGGTCGCGGGTGGGTCGCGTGTGGGTCGCGGGTGGGTCGCGGGTGGGTCGCGGGTGGGTCGCGGGGTGGGTCGCGCGCGGAGGGTCGCGGGGTGGGTCGCGGGGTGGGTCGCGGGGTGGGTCGCGGGGTGGGTCGCGGAGTGGGTCGCGGGTGGGTCGCGGGTGGGTCGCGGGTGGGTCGCGGGGTGGGTCGCGGGTTGGGTCGCGGGTGGGTCGCGGGGCGGGTTGCGGGTGGGACGACGACAACAAACAACATCAAACAACAACAAACAACAACAAGAATCCGCACCGCGGAATTCCACTTCAGCCACGCACCCATGGACAGTGAATGACCGCTCGGCCCCCTCACTCTGACATTTCTCGGACGCATGCGGACGGTGGCGCTGAGGCCTTGGGTGGAGCCCCCTATGGGGCCACGAAGCGCTGCACTGGGTGGGTGCAAATGCCAAATTGGGCTTCCGGGACGCATGCGGACGGGGCTACTGGGGCCTTCGGTGGGGCTCCCTATGGGGCCACGAATCGCTGTTCTGGGCGTGCGAGGCGCATGCGGACGGTTGCGTTGGGACCTACGGTGGGGCTCCCTATGGGGCCACGAAGCGCCGTATTGGGTGTGCGGGACGCATGCGGACGGTAGCACTGGGACCTTCGGTGGGGTTCCCTATGGGGCCACGAAGCGCTGCACTGGGTGGGTGCAACGCAGGGAGGAGGGGGAGGAGGGCCACGAAACGCTGTACAGGGTGTGCGGGACGCATGCGGAC